GAATGTCGAGTGGAAGTCCTTGGAATCTTTTTGTTTCAGATGGTCACCACCTATGTATTCAAGAGGGAGCTGGATGTGGCCCTTGTGACTAAAGGGGTATGGGGAGAGGGTGGGAATAGAATACTGAGATTGCATGATTGTATTGAATGGTGGTGCAGGCTCGAAGGGCCGAATGGCCTACTCCTGCACCTATTTTCTATGTTTCTGTGTCTGTGTTTCTGACAATTGTGGGGCATAAATGTTATTTGCAATTGTAAGCCCAGGCCTGACCACTAAAATTTACAATTATATTGGTCTGGAATTCACAGTTGTGCTGACAGTGAAACTGTAAGCATTTTTTGTTATTTTGCAAACCAGTCAATTTTCTGATGTCTGCACATTCAAAGATAAAGTTGGAATTCCTGAACTTCTGCTGGTACATCACAATGTTACATAATGTACCCATTTACAGACTTTACAAATGCAATCAGCACAGAAATCAATGAATTTACCTGAACTCCAAATTTTTAAGGACTATTTTCTCTATAAAAAGAGAACATTGAAAATGTTGAACTCTGTTAAATTGGGTGCAATTGGGTATTTACAGGCAAAATAAGATATAATTGCTGCTGAACCAACACTCTAGTTTTGAGAAACTAGTTTTGTAAGTATACGATGTTATTCTCTCTATTCCTTGATAAATATTTCCTGACTTTTAAAAGCTAAACATAATTTTAATTTTTCTTAGCTTTTTTAATGATTTTACAGTTTCTACTTTAATCCCAAGTGTATGTCTCATTTCTCAATTAATTTTCTGTAAAACACTTAATAGTTGAATTATCTTTTTTTTTAGCTTGTGGTTTGCTCTCAGTGAGAATTTTTCAATCTAATTGAAAGACAATCTGACAGGTTGTTCCAGAGATAGTAGGAACTGCAGATGCTGGAGAATCCGAGACAACAAGGTGCAGGGCTGGATGAACACAGCAGGCCAAGCAGCATCATAGGAGCAGAAAGGTTAACGTTTCGGGCCTAGACCCTTCATCAGGATGAATGCTTGAGTAAAAGTCATAAAAAATGGCGTTTAAAGTTCCACAGCTTCCTAAATCTTTGTGGACATCAGTTCGTTCGGTCAATGGCGAGTGTTGATCCCTTCACCGCTGACCACAAAATATAGAACTTATATTTCAGGTTAAATTTCAAGTTAAACCACTACAATAACACTCACGTTCTGAGACAATGCTGGACTTGCTTTCTCTTAACCAATGTCTGTCAACCTTCTTGCTGCTCTAAGTGCACCTGGCTCTGCATTCATAGTCTTCATGCATGGTAGCCTACACCAGCTTTCTGTTTTTATGTACTCCTACAAAAGTGGACAACAGAATGATTTTAGAGGGTGTTGTGACGTTGGATAGAGTACCTGTGGATTGGGAGGCCGGAAGTTAGAATTTGCTGTTTTTAAGATGCTGAGGGCCGGGGTTGGGGTAGGGGTGGGGGGGTGCATTGCGTGGTGCCTTTAAAAGATAATGTGCTTTATCTATGGTTAGAGATTTAAAACAGGTGTCTGTGAGCAACAGCATGAAAGTTTGTAAGTACACGGAGAGCAACCACATTGAAACATTTGTATCAAAAAGCCATAGGGTTAGCAGCCCAAGTAGCATTTTTTTTAACGAAGACAACAAGTTTTGAATTTAGCCAATCAATTTCAACCAGGCACTTAGATACCAAAAACCAATTAAATTTAAATCTGACATTTCGGGCCTTTTTTTTCTGAAGAAGGGTCTAGGCCCGAAACGTCAGCTTTCCTGCTCCTCTGCTGTGTTCATCCAGCTCTACACCTTGTTATCTCAGATTCTCCCACATCTGCAGTTCCTACTATCTCTAAATTTAAATCTGATGGTTTTGAGAACATAAGACCCATCCAAGTGTAAGAAATTGACAGGTCATCAGGGCGAAATAAGAAAATGGCAGTTATACAAATCTAGGAGAGCTAGCTGCCATCTGTCAGAGTTAACCGCTCTCATCTCTCAAGAGAGAATTGTAGACTCTCACAGTTTTCCCTAAGTCTTAGAGAAGGGACCATCTAAAGAACAAAGGTACCTATGGCACAACTAGTTAATATTCCTGACAGAAGGATCGACAGAGAAGGCATTCCTGACAGAGGAATAGATGGAGAAGGCACAGAGCATTCCGAATGACATAACCTGGCTGTAATTACGAGAGACTAAATTCTATTTTTTTTATTTTATGAGTGGAATTTGTATCTATTGCAACAGCATACCATTAGAATCTTGTTTTATTTGGGAACAGATAGTAATTAGAATGGGTTTGTTCAGTTTGTTAATAGTGTAGTTAATTTGTTCAATGTTAGATTTAGATAAATACATTGTTACTTGTTGATTGTAAAGTGAGTGTCAGAGATTTATTTTATTTAACCACTAGAAGTTGCTGAAAGACAGGTTACACCACTTTTCACACTCGTTTTACAGATTGTAGGGTGAGGTACTTCTCTTTGGGTGTTTCAATTTTAATTGTCAGTGGGGTTCAACCTCCACTTTAAAACAGATTGGGGACTCATGTCTGGGGATTTGAATGGATGTGAGTGGATTTGAATTAATTTCAATGGATCTGAAAGAACTTGAATGGATCTGAACTGATCTGAACAGATTTTGACAGATTTGAACAGATTTGGGGTACAAAAGTCCCAGCAGATTTAAACAGACTTTGGGACTGGTGTCCTAGATCTTTCTAAGAAAAACCTAAGCGAGAAATGGAAAATCTGTTTAATTTTGGTTGCTTGTTGTTAGTTAAATCAAAAGTTGGGAAATGGCTCTTATCATTGCCAAAGAGGTTCTCAGGGTCGAAGATGCTTCCCAAATTTGCTGAGAAAATTTAGAAAGACAACAAAAAGGGAACACTTTTAGAATTAGCAGACAGGCTAAAATTGGGTTCAATTAGGGATAAGACGAAAGCTGAAATTGTAATAGAGTTAGCCAAGCATTTAGGTATTTCAGAGAAATAGTCAAGTGTAGTGAAGTTAGAACAAATTAAATTGCTAATTAGACAATTGGAGTTAAAAGATAAAGAAAGGGAAAGAAGATTCCTAGCTGAAGAAAAAGAAAAGATAGCCAGGGCAGAAGAGAAAGAAAGGGAAAGAAGGTTTCTAGCTGAACAAAAAGAAAAAGGAAAGAATCACCTGAGCAGAACAAAAAGTGAAAGAGAGAGTTTGAACTTCAGAAGTTGGCCATTAGACAGGAAAGTCAATTTAAAAAGATGGAGATGAAGGTAGAAGGTAGGTTTAGTAAGGAAGATAGTGATGATAAGCAAACTCATCGTAGCCAAAGGCCTGGTAGGGATATATACAATTATGTCAAAACATTACCAAAATTTGATGAAAAAGATGTAGAGGCCTTTTTCATTTCTTTTGATAAATTGACGAAACAGATGAACTGGCCAGAGACCATGTGGGTAATGTTAATTCAGACAAAGTTGGTAGGCAGGTCTTGCGAGGTGTTTACAGCACTGTCAGAGGAGATATCAGGAGATTATGAAGGATGAATAAGAAAACTGTGAGATCGTCCATTTCAGCAGAAAGAAACAAAAATAAGCATATTGTCTAAAAGGTGAGAGATTGCAGAGCTCCGAGATGCAGAAGAATTTGAATGTCTTTATGCAGGAATTGCAAAAGGTTAGTGTGCAAGTTTGGAAATGATTCGGAACGCTATTAGAATTTTATTGTTTATTATGGGGGAATTGAAATCAAAAGTAGGAAGGTTATGTTTCGGTTATACAGGTCATCAGTGAAACTACATTTGGACTACTGCATACAATCCAAAAACATACGTTTATATTATAACATATGTTCTGGAAAGAAGCTTTCTAAGCAAGACGTCAATTGGCTTTCTGGATTTTGAAATAAAGTAGTGAGTAACACTGTTTTATGTCATTTTTTTCCAACTACCATAAACATCAAATTCATACCAACAAGGCATATATTCACTAATAAAAGACATTGCATTTATACAGTACACTTTGGATGGAGCCAGCTCCAAGCAACTTTACAGAGGAGACAAAATGTAGGAATTGTTAAGCAAATGGACAACAAGTTATAAAAAGAGCACTAAGAAGCTTTCAGAAATGGCAGATGAAATTTAAAATAGAGAATTCTGATGTGATTCATGTTAGAAGAATAACATGGACAGTCAATATGAAATAAACAATACAATTCTGAAGTGTGTACAGGAACAAAGGGATCTCGGACTGTACATGCACATATCATTAGAGTATGAGATAAAAAAATGATGAATTAAGATCCTAGGTTCATTATCAGGAGTATAGACCCCAAATGCAAAGAACTTATGATGAGCATGTACTAAATACTGGTTCAGTTTCAGTTGGAACATGTATCCATTTCTTGACACCACACATTAGGAAGGCATTTAAAAGAGTACAGGAAACATTCATGAGAACGTTTCCAGGGATGAGCTATGTAGACAGGTTGGAGAGTCTGGACTCAGTCTTAGAGAATTTTAGATGATTGACAAAAGGAGCAATGACAGCGTAAGGAAAACTTCTTTTGAAGCAGCAAATGCTTTGGATTTGGAATGGACTGTTTTGGAGTGAGGTGAAAGCAGATTCAATCAAGGCCTTTGAAAGAGAAATGCATAATCATCTGAAAAAAGAAAAAGAAATGCAAAATTAAAGGGAAAATGTATGAGAATGGGAGTAGGTGAGTTGTTCTTTCTGAGACCTGACACAAATACAGATACAATAGGCCAAATGGTCTCCTGTGTTTAAATAATCTAAGATGTAAGAACTGGGAGTTGTGAAGTCCATGATGAGGATATCAGAAATTTTGAATTTGTAGTGCTGTGAAACTGAAAGCAATTACTGAGAGTTTGAGAATAAGGGAGAGTATTTTTAACTTGGGGGTAATCTCCTTTTATAAAGTCTAGTTTTGTAAGTTTAATTGCAATTAGCATCTTACTTAAATTTACTGCTCCTAAGTTTTAAATTTCTTCCAGGCTTGAATGGAGCTAATCAAGCTCCCTACTGGAGAGAGAGTGCTATCAGCTAACTAATTAACCGACCTAAACTGAATTGGTAAGTACCTTATTGTAGATTCCTCAGAATTTTAGTAGTGTACACAAGAGGTTAAGTGCAGTACAGTGAGTGCAGTGGGATACTGTGGGATCACCGTGAGTTTGGTGAGTAAGAGAATTAATTGAGAAGGAGGTGTTGATTTTGCTGACAGGGGTTCATGATCACAGTTACCTAAGATAGGCAGTCCACAAATTGTAGCAATTTTCTGATAGCTTAGTGAGTTTGCTAAAAAGCAGCAGTTTAGATACAACACATTAGTTAATTAGATAAGGAAAGTGTGAAACCATGGCAGATGAGAACATTTCATCAATTTCAAAGCTGTTTTGTAGAATGAGGAGCAGGCCGAGTATTCACCCGGATGTTTTCCAGTCTTTTCAGACAGGAATCTTTTATTGTAGCAGTCCTTGTTAGTCCTTTTGGGGTGATTTCAGGGAACTGTTGGTCTCCTCTCAAGAAGATTGTGGTTCGATCTGCTGGATCCTCTCATTCTTTATTCTCTTTCTCCCCACATACCCCCATTGAAGAAAAAGAGGAGATGTGGCAGTATTTGTTAAGAAAAGCATGGCATTGCTGGGGAAAGAGGATGTCTCAGATGTTTCTCGGACAGGATTGATTTGACTCGAGCAAAGGAGCAAGCAGGGTGAAATTACATTACTCAGTGTGATCTACAGATCACCAACCAGTAAGAAGAAGAATGGAAAGGAACAAATTCTGCAAGGAAACTACAAAAAGGTGCAAGAATTATAGAATAGTTATAATGAAGGACTTTAATTAGTCATATAAATTGGGATAGTGGTAGTGTTAAAGAAGAGAAAGCACTCTTAGATTGTGTTCAGGCAACAGAGGTGAAGCTTTCCAGACTATAAAACATTGCTTGTGTTTCACAGCCATGAGTAGGATTGATTTGTAATGTTGAAGATGTCTGTAATGTTGTGGTCAAAAATGCTTGTGGCCTAGATTTTTAGTCAATACAACGTATGTCATGGAATCCCTATAGTGTGGAAAGAGGCCATGCAGCCCAGTAAGTCTGTACACAATAAGTCAATTCACAATGTTAACAGTACGGCTATCTACTTTGCATTTCTGATTAAGGGCAGCACAGTGGCTCAGTGGTTAGCACTGTTCAGACAGTCGATGTGGTGTGGACTCGATGGATCAAAAGGCCTGCTTCCACACTGTAGGGATTCTATGATGTATAACCTATGATTAATGTAAAACATATTACCACATTGAGTTTTCCTATATCCCTCTAGGCCTGTACTTCTCCGCATTGCAGTCTCACTCTCATTTTTGGAATTGATAAGATCATGGAAGTAATTCCTGCACTGTATTAAAGCCCTTTTCATGTCATTAAGTTTTTAGCCTCTGCTACGGCCTTCTCCCAGACTGTGTTGGTCAGGTTGGGAGGTCTCCTCTTACCATCAGCTGATATTCAGGTCTCCTCCCTAGCACGAAGGGCCTGGATGAGAGCTCACAAGGAGGCATCATTGAACCCTAGGGCTGTCCTCTTCCTTCTGTGTGAGTCATCATCCCTCTGCATTCTCGCAGCCATCTGTGGAGACGCAAGAAGTTGAAGCGCAATTTACACAATCTGTAACCATCTACAGTTTGCTTAAAATTAAGCAAGCCTTCTCCATGGGACCCATTAAATAAGTAGAAGTCATGGGCTGACAAAATTTTGACTGGATGTGCCGCCTTTCATCAAGGCATCGGGTGAGTATCCCACACCATGGTAGTCCCATTGGCATAGAAAAGGCTTGGTGGCCTTTAATCTGCTTGTTTCCATGTAATGGTCTCTCTAAAGCAATGGTTGAGAATTGGCAATCGGCCAGCTCCCTGGTAGGGCTCCAACCCAAAGCATCATCACAGAACATTCAGGGCACAGTTTCAAGTCACACTTTTCTAGAAGATCAACTCCTAGCTTTCTCCAGAAAATAAAAAAAAAACTGTGTTTCCAAAACTTCAGCCTTTCATGTCTTTTAAATTTAATGCGTGAAGGAACAGAAAGCTCAAGTCACTGCATCTTATTGCACTTTTAGTATAAATATTTGTTTAGAGTTTTCAAAACTGACATGGATTCATTTATTTAGAGAGCAATTGGAACATTCATTGAAGGACAATCAACTGGGGGGTATTTTTTTTAGATAAGATCCAACCTTGTTCTGAATGATTTCTATGTGCGAAATAACACTCAAAGGCTCTAAGATTGATCAAGGTGAGATTTTAATTTTGTAATCTGGACTGAGTGGAGACTGCAAGTTGTACTTTTTTTTAAGAATATATCCTGCTGGGTTATGCATGACAGAAGTGTGAATTTTCATCATTGCCTCCTGCCTCAAACCTAATGAAATGGCACAGAGATCATAAGCTTGGTCATGTTTGCTTTCTCAGCTTATCAAAGGTGGATTGGTTTTCATCACCATATTTCAAGGAGCAACCATTTCTAATTAATTTTAAATGTCAGCATCTTTCCATAATGTCATAATACTTTGATATTTAACCACAAAATTGAAGTTTCATTATTTCTACTGTTGTGAATTAAACACAAGAAAGTGATAGTGCTAAGCTGGTCAGGAAACTAAATAGGGTTTCAGTTTCATGGTCTTGAATTATCCAGCTATCAGAAAATTGCATCTTTTTTTAATGATACTTGCTGTTCTATTCTTTAATCCATTCTCTTTTAAAAGTACTGTCAATATACATATCTTAGAATTTGTATCTAAGTTATCATAATTAAAACTGAATGCGGCCTAGCAATGCGATGCTCTTAGAACACAGGAGTTAAATTTCCTGGTCTTCAATTCCACTAGTCTGACAATGCAGTACTTTTACCAGTCCATGATAACAAACACAGAACCCATCACAAATTAGCTCATTTATATTTTTGGGTGAGAGCAATTCTAAAATGGTTACATCTCAAAGGAAGCAATTTGACCTGCTCCATCTATACCAATTCTCTGCAAGTAAAATTCACAGTCACAACTCTGCCTTTCCTCTACAGTCCTGCAACTTCTTTCTCTTTAGATAATTCTCCAATTCTCTTTTGAAAGTCACAATTGAATCTGCCTTCACCACACCGTCAGGTGGTACTTTCTGGATCCGAACCACATGCTGAAAAGGACTTTTCTTCACATTATCGTCACTTTGTTCAACAATCTCTGAAATCTCATTCTCAATCCTTTCACCAACTGGAACTGTTTCTTCCCATCTACTCCATTCAGGCCCCTTGGAACAGTGAAGATCTCCATTCAATCTCCTTTGAATCTCTCCTGTTTTATGATGTGTTATGTCTCGTGATCAGTGTATGTGTATAGTTTTAAGAAGCATTCAAATGATAGAATTGTTGTATCATAGCATGTAACTCAAGGCATAAAGGTCTTACCTTGCCATCTAACTTCAGGATCACTTAAGGCATTGCATACAATTGGAAACATGCCGTTCTGTTGTGACTGATAACTTAATATTAGACCAGATGCTTATGCATTTATGAATGTAATATTTGTGCATAATAGTCAGCTGCAATAAATATCTGTTGGATTTTACAATAAAAGGAAATCCATGCCAGAACAAAGAACAAAGAAAAATATAGCACAGGAACAGGCCCTTTGGCCCTCCAAGCCTGCACAGACACATTTTGCCCTTCTATACTAAAACTGTCTTCACTTACAGGATCCATATCCCTCTATTCCCTTCCTATTCATGTATTCGTCCAGGTGCTTCCTGAATGCTGCAATCGTGGCTGCTTCCACCACCTACTCTGGCAGTGCATTCCAGGCTCTCACCATGCTTTGTGCAAAAAACCTGCCTTGCAAATCTCTTTTAAACTACCCCCCCACCCCCAACCTTGAACCTGTGTCCTCTAGTAATTGACCCCTCCGGCCTGGGAAAAAGCCTCACACTTTCCACTCTATCCATGCCATTAACAATCTTATCAATTTCTATCAGGTTGCCCCTCAACTTCCTGTGTTCCAGTTTACCCAACCTTTCTTCATTGCTAAAATCCCCTATACCAGGTAACATCCTGGTAAACCTCTTCTGTACCGTCTCCAAAGCATCCACATCCTTTTGGTAGTGTGATGACCAGAACTGTATGCAATATTCCCAGTGTGGCCTAATTAATGTACTACAAAGCTGCAGCATAACTTGCTTAACCTTATACTCAATACCCCTTCCAATGAAGGCAAATATGCCATGGGCCTTTTTCGCTATCTTATCTACCTGTACTGCTACCTTCAGTGATCTGTGGACCTGCACACCCAGCTTCCTCTGCATATTAATACTTCTAAGGATTCTAACACTCACTGTATAATTTCCACATGTACTTGACCTTCCAAAATGCATCACCTCATATTTGTCCGGATTAAACTCCATCTGCTATTTTTCTGCCCATGCCTCCAACTGATCTATAGTCTGCTGTATCCTCTGACAATCTTTCTCACTATCTGCAACTCTACCAATCTTTGTATCATCCATAAACTTAGAAATTATACCAGCCACGTTTTCCTCCAAATCATTTGTATAGACCATGAACAGCAGAGGTCCAAGTACTGATCCCTGTGGAACACCACTAGTCACAACTCTCAATTCTGAAAAGTATCCTTCTACCACTACCCTCTATCTCCAATGACTAAGCCAGTTTTGTATCCATCTTGCCAACTGATTCTTGATACTATTTGACCTTTTGTACCAGTCTGGCATGAGTGACTTTGTCAAAGGCTTTACTGAAGTCCTTGTAGAGAACATCAATTGCTTTTCCCTCATTAGTCATCTTTGTCACCTCCTCAAAAAACTCGATCAAGTTGGTGAGGCACAATATGTCCCGCACAAAACCATGCTGTCTATAGCTAATAGGTTTTTTGTATTATAAACAAAGTCACATCAGGTAAATCAACATGTTGGGAGGCAAAATCACATCATATGATGAATAGTCTCAACATCTCCAAACACATTACTGATCCACATTACTGATCATCATCAGTGGGACCATT